CCCTACAGCTAATGGTAGTAACGCCTGCTCTAGAGATGGGGATTTGACCCGGCTTCCGGGAGGAGGGGCCCTGCTGCCTTTCACAGGCCCACACGGCCCCTGACGTGGGGTCTGCTCCGAGAGCCTGGGTTCTGGGAACCGCGGCTGCACCGAGCTCCCTGGGGAGGTGGTGGCACCGCAGGGTGGCTGGGAGCGCATGTCTAGAACCCTGAAGCCTTGGGGTCCACGTCTGGCTTAGAACAACTGGCCTGTTGTCATTAAACAACTCCAGTTTCAGTTTCAAAATCATTGGTAAATCAGGATTCCTCCACCTCCTCACAGGATTGTCGTAAAGATTAAACAAGGCCACACAGTGCAAAGCATTTAGTACTGAGCCTGGAACGTATCACCCTTCTGTAAAGGGCACATCGTCATCGCTCCCACAAGCCCCAGGGTTCTGGTTACCTTGTCTTCAACACCTACTCCTCCCCTCCCTCGTGATGGAGGAAGCAAGCATCCCACCACAGAGGCTGGCGCAGCATCACCTGGGACTGGTCCGAGGCGTGAAGCTGCAGGAACGGAAAGCCTGGGTACCAGTCCCAGTGCGGTCATGAGCATTCCCTGTGTGAGCTGGGCTCACGTGCTCCCTTCCAAACCCTGGGGCCTCGGCTTATACCACAGGGTAAAGTCAGATTAGAGCAGCACTTTTCAAACTATATATCAACTCAATTTAGCAAATTACAAGCAGCATTTTTAAAAATAAAGATTAGAGAAGGTATCCTGAATTCTCAGAGTGGGAATTCCTTTATGAAACTTTTGCCTGAGATGTAGATTCATGCATGAACGTGAGCACTCGCTCATGCCGTAAAGTGTGTTTTCTGCTGTGCATCATGATCCAAAGAGTTGAAAACCACCATTGCAGGACAAGGGTGGGAAAGGGGAAAGGGGAAAGGGAGCAGGTGGAAGCAGGAATACGACAGTGTCTCCCAGTGGATCTTCCTGGTGTGACTTTAAGACAGCACTTGATTCCGTAAAGGAAACCTGCCCCTGCCCCTAGAGGCGCTCTCCACAGATGAAAGTACATTTTGAGGCAAGGCGCTCCTCTGAAAATAGGACGTGCCAGGCTCAGGCCCGCAGTGACTCACTATTACTCAGAAATGGTCTTGCAGTAACACTCAGGTATGTGGAGGTCCCCTTCTTTCTCGCAGAGGAAGTTCCTAAAGAACGACGGCGGGGGCGTGGGGAGTGGGGAGTGGGGAGTGGGG